TGATCCTCCTACACTCAGCACCCAAGTACAAGTCTTACAGGCAGGTACGGGGCGCCACAGCTCATCTTTTTGGTTGGTTTGTTTGTTTTTGTTTTTACAAGACAAAGCCAGTCTCACTTTTTCACCAGCGGTGGCCTGGAGCTCCCAGTGTAGCCTGGTTTCAAAGTCACCCTCCTTCCTAGGCTTGCGGAGGGCTGGGGTTACAGGCAGGAGCTACAGCGCCCACTCTGAATTCGTTTTTAATTTGGGCTAAAATCAGCCCAGGGAGCCTGTAATCTTTTGACTTTTGATTTCCAGTGAGAGGAACTCAAAACACAGATAATCACTCACTGCCAAGGTTCTGCCGCCTCATGCTCAGACTTGTCCAGAGCCCAGAATCCCTGCCCTACTGGGAGGCAGCACTGTGCGCTCTGGAGCACACATGCTTGTCTCAGGTCTCAAAGTTGCTCTGACCTTTGCAAATGGCAAAGACAGGTTCACACGCAGGCACTGATTTGTCTTTATTTTTAGGTTACAATGTGTGAGTTCTATTAAGAGAATAACTCTACAGAGAAACCCTCTCTCAAAAAACCAAGAGAGAGAGAGAGAGAGAGAGAGAGAGAGAGAGAGAATAACTTTATTTTTAATTGGTAGACCATTTGTAAAGATTTGTGAAGGATATTTTAATATGTATATACATTCTGTAATGATGAAACCAGAGTAGCTAGTACATCCATCGTCTCTCAAATGTTTACAATTTTTTTGTGGATAAAAGCATCTGAAATCCTTTCTTCTTTTTGTAGATATTTTGATATATGTTATTAGCCAGGTTTAGTGGCATACATCTGTAATCCTGGCCCTTGGGAGGTAGCGGAAGGAGGTCAGGAGTTCAAAGTCATCCTCAGTTACGCAGTGATTTTCAGTCAGCTTTGAGGCCCTGTCTCAAAACCTGAAAATGTGTGTGTGTGTTCCATACAGTAGAAGACCACAGCCTATTCTTCCTGCCTAGTTGTATCTTTGTATCTTACGGCCAACTTTCCCTCTCCTTCCAGCCCCTGGTAACCTGTTTTCTTCTTTCTGCTTCCAAGAGTTTCACAGTCTGAGATTTCAAACGTAAGTGAAATCATGAGGTATTTGTCTCTTGGTGTTTGGCTTATCTCACCTAGCATGAGGTCCTGTAGGTTCGTCCAGACTGCTGCAAAGGACAGATGCCCTCCACTCTTGAAAAAGAGTGAGAACACTATTTCACTCTACACGGACGTATACTAGATTTTAAAAATCGATTTCTCTGTTGATGGACACAGCTGTTTCTGTGTTCTGGCTGCCGGGATGAACACTGCTAGAAACACCTATGCCAAAACACCTAACACAATTTCTTTTCTCTGCTTGCTCTTGGGTTTTGGGATGGTAGGATAAAACTCAGGGCCAGGTAGTCACTGTGCCACCGAGCCACACGCCTGGCCTGCCCCATTTCTTAAGGTGTGAATTTTATGCTAATGAATTAATGCCATGAGTAAATCGAGATGTAAGAGTATCTTTATCTTACAGGATGAACACTGGTTGTTAGTGGGGAAGGAGATGGGAGGATCCGAGTAGAGCTTGAACCCCATATGGTATTCTGACCATTTTTAAGCCTGGTCATGTTATTACCCAGGGGACAGATAGTCTAGATCCCACCTCTGTATTTCAGTCACTTCCTCTGAGTTCTGTCACTAACCCTCTTTGTGCCCTTTACTACTCCATTCTTAGATCTGTCAAGCCATTACTGCAGCCCCATAATACTCTGTTCCCTGGGAGCCTTGGCTCTCTGTGTGAAGAAAGGATAGGTCCACCCCATTTATTACATATATATGCATATATGTTATCATATGTATATATATCAGCGCACACACACACATATTGGATTTTTTGAGACTCTGTTTCTCTGTGTAGCCTAGGCTGTCTTGAAATTTACTCTGCAGACCAAGCTGGCCTCCAACTCAGAAATCTGCCTGCCTCTACCTCCTGAGTGCTGGGTTTAAAGGCAGGCACCACATGTCTGGCCTGGTCTACCCCATTTAAATGTCAGCCTCTAACCCAATCCCTCAATAGTCTTCGTTAAATAAATGGGAGAAGATATTAATAGATGGTATGTCCTTTTTAAATTATTTGTTATTTTATATGTATAGGTGTTTTGTCTGCATGTATGCCTGTGCAACAGATGTGTTCCTGATGCCCAGGAACACGAGGAGAGGGTGTTGGAATTGAACCCAGGTCCTCTGGAAAAGCAGCCAGTGATCTTTTTTTTTTTTTTTTGAGACAGGGTTTCTCTGTGGCTTTGGAGCCTGTCCTGGAACTAGCTCTGTAGACCAGGCTGGTCTCGAACTCACAGAGATCCGCCTGCCTCTGCCTCCCGAGTGCTGGGATTAAAGGCGTGCGCCACCAACGCCCGGCCAGCCAGTGATCTTAACCACTGAACCATCTCTCCAGTCTCCAGCTTTCCAGCTTGTCCTTTTCAGAGGACAGATGTATTAGATGTCCAACACTCTAGCCATAATGGTGCCAGGGGAGAAAAAAAGAGCTAAGCTATTCGGAGGAGAAAAGCTAACCCCAAGACCTTTTTTTTTTTTTAATTGCCAAAGGAGGCATAAGTGATGTATGAGATAAATCCTGGATATAAAATCTTGACATATCTTTGAGGTGTTGGCCGGAGCTGCTTCAAACCTGCACAGAAAGCAAATCAAATCCCTCTAGGTTTTCTCGACGAGCCCCTGAGGGGCAGTTATGAGTGGAAGGCAAGGCCAGACAGACCCAGGAATTCAAAGTTTGACCTACTTTGTCGAAACTAATAAGAGGAAAGATGTCTGCATAATCTCTCTCTCTCTCTCTCTCTCTCTCTCTCTCTCTCTCTCTCTCATAGTAAAGGGCAGTGGAAGCACATGAGAGACGTTAGAATTCAGAGAGCTGAAAGCGACGAAATCACAGCAGGACTGAGCAGCTAGCTACAAGAAGCCTGTGTTTGTGTCTCGCGTTGTTCTCTTCCCCCTCCCCCTCTCTCGAGTGAGAAAAAAATAGGTGCCTAAATTCCCACCAGCATAAACCAATGACATACAATGATGAAATTCTGTTTTCACCTCTGCCTGTGACAGGGAATGCAAAAATAGCAAGTGGCCTATTTCCACGAATCCCCGCCTCCCTGCCCTCCCGGTTCCCGCCGGGTTTGGATCTCTAAGAATGGATGCTAGCGCACAGCCAGGAGCCAGCCGGGATCAGCCCCCGGACCCGAGGGTGATGTCAGGCGGCGGGAGCGGCCGCAGCCCAGCCAGGGAGGCCGCGGCCTCTGGGGAGCAGGGAGGGCGGGTGGCCTCGATGGGCGGACCGTGCGCCGGCCGCGCCGCGTCGCCTGGAGACGGCCCTGGCGGCGCTGTGTTGCTGTAAACAGCCGCTCGCTGTTACTATCTATAGCAAGATCGCCTAGCTCCCGGGTGCGGCGGCCCGAGGCAGGTTTGCGGTTCTGCGCCCCTTGCGCCCCTAAAGATACATTCACTGCCCTAATCCTCTCTAGCCTTTCTTGGAATGCCCACCGATTGGCTTGACCCCCCAGGAATCTATAGAATGGAGACCAATGGACACCTGAGTTCTGCGAGGGTCTGCGGTTTCGTACCCCAGGGGTGACCGGCGCTCTGGGGCCGAGCCCAGTCACTCTAACCTGGCTTGTCCTTTGCAGAAGGACGGCGGAGGTTGAGGGCATGTAGGGGTGTGTTCTACACACCTAGCCTCCCCAAAGTTCCATCTTCCAAGATTCAGAGCTGTGCTCAGGTTCCAGAAGCCAAAATTTCCCCTACCACGGGCTGGGCACTGTTCTTCCAGCCCTCTCTGGTCCCCCTCCCTCTCAGGTCCGAACTGGAAAATCACCCGCTGCCGGTCCCCGTAAGCGCAGTTACACGCTTGGATTCAGTCCCCCCTCCCCCACCTCCCCAGCACGGACTTGCGTTCTCCGCCCGATATCACTTCACTTTGTAACCCAGAGCTGTCCCCCCTGCTCACTAATAACCGCCCCCTCCCAGCGCCCTCCCCCCCCCCAGCTCAAAACTAGGCAAACGACCCCTTCAGGCATCCTTGCAGGGAGGTTTTGCGTAATATTTTTCAGCCAGTGTCTTTGGGGGCTGACAGCTACCCTAATACCTCCAAGTGGCTAAGAGCCGGGGAGTGTGGGGGGTGCTTTCTTCCTTTAAAACACGAATGAATGAATGGACTCAGTATCATAGGTAAAGTGGGCTATTGTGCACTTATTTAGAATCCTTCACTTCTTCCAACCTCAGTCCTAGTGTTACTCGAGGCCAGGGGTTGGAGCGAGCGGCTGAGAAGCTGATACCATTTTATTTATTTATTATTTATTTATTTGCACTGATTTGCGGTGGGCAAGCTTTCCTTTGGGAACGGAGGGTTCGAGCCTTTAGGGTTACGTATCTGTTTCTCCTAATACCAGATTCAGAAAGGTCCCAGATTTCTGGACCATGGAAAGGAGGCGACCCCATCTCGTGCCCTGACCCTGGGACAAATGGGTCCACATTGAATCAGGTGCGAATGTTCGCTCGCCTTCTCTGCCTTTCCCGCCTCCCCTCCCCCGATCGCGGCCCCCAATCTGCTCCTCCCCCCTCCGCACTGCACCCTCAGAGTTGGCTGCAGCCGGCAAGCAGTTCCCGTCAGTCCCTCCCTCCTTTACACAGGATGTCCATATTAGGACATCTGCGTCAGCAGGTTTCCACGGCCGGTCCCTGTAGTCCGGGGGGGACTATCCCCGAAATCCTACATACGGGGAGTTCAGGAGACCCTCTAAGACCCTTAATGTGAACACTCAGAGGTGAAAATCACTTGACGAGTCGGGGGTCGGGGGATCTGGGGCGGGGAGTTGACGACAGGGCGGCTGCAGAGGGCCCTGGCGCGCTCCTCCCCCTCCATCGCCACAGTTCCGCCCAGTGCCAGTGACGTATCAGCCAAGTTCATTCACAGCGCTTCTCTATAAAGGCACCGGCAGAGGCGCCTACTACTCCAACCGCGACTGCAGCTAGCAACTGAGAAGACTGGATAGAGCCAGCGGCGCCACGAACGAGTAGTGATCGCGCTCCCAACCCAGCTCTGCTCCGCAACTCCCACCAGTGTCTGTCCCTGGACCCCTCGCCTGGATTTCCCTAAACTTCGACCATGATGTTCTCCGGTTTCAACGCCGACTACGAGGCATCATCCTCCCGGTGCAGCAGTGCCTCCCCGGCCGGGGACAATCTTTCCTACTACCATTCCCCAGCCGACTCCTTCTCCAGCATGGGATCCCCTGTCAACGCACAGGTGAGTTTGCCTTCGTGCAGCCGCCGGGTCCGCGCTGAGGGTCGCAGAGGAGGGGATACCGGGATGGGACACTCAGGGACGTCAGTTGGAAAGGGGTCTCACTTTTTCTCTTGGGAGGGAGACTGGAGCGGACAGAACAGCCCTAGCTTGGGAATCTAGGACTTGTCTGAGCGCCTGCACGCTTGTCATAGTAAGACTTAGTACCCCCTTCCCGCGCAGCAGGGTTATTTTGAGTGGCCTGCGTTTTTCCCTTGGTGTCTTGTCTTTGAGATCAGCCCGGGGCTCGATCTAAGACTAGCTAAGGAGAGCCTGCGAGGCTGCAAACAGCGGCAATCCCCCCTCCTGGGGCAGCCTGGAGCAGGGAGGAGGGAGGAGGGCGCTGCGGGCGGGTGTGTAAGGTAGTTTCATTGATAAAAAGCGAGTTCATTCTGGAGACTCCGGAGCGGCGCCTGCGTCAGCGCAGACGTCAGGGATATTTATATCAAACCCCCTTTCAAGCGAGTGATGCTGAAGGGATAACGGGAACGCAGCGGTAGGATGGAGGAGAAAAGCTGCGCTGCAGAATTCAAGGGAGGAAATTGGGAGAGCTTTTATCTCGGATGAGATACATACAGGAAGACATAAGCAAGTCTCTGACCCGAATGTTTCTCTTTCTCTCCTTGCTGCATGCGACACTAAGGCTACTTGCTCCACCTGTGTCTGGAACCTGCTCGCTCACCTCCACTTTCTTCTTTCTCTTTTGTTTCAGGACTTCTGCGCAGATCTGTCCGTTTCCAGTGCCAACTTTATCCCCACGGTGACAGCCATTTCCACCAGTCCAGACCTGCAGTGGCTGGTGCAGCCCACCCTGGTCTCCTCCGTGGCCCCATCGCAGACCAGAGCGCCCCATCCCTACGGAGTCCCCACCCCGTCAACTGGGGCTTACTCCAGGACCGGACTGGTGAAGACCATGTCAGGCGGCAGAGCGCAGAGCATTGGCAGGAGAGGCAAAGTAGAGCAGGTGAGCAGCGAGCGATTCTGGACCTGGGGTTGGGAGGCAGCGCGCAGGTGGGGGGGGGGGGCTGGCGGGCGGGGAGGACACAACAGAGAGTAGAACCCTGATACAACTCACGGCACTTCCGGATCTGGAGCCGTGACTCCAAGCCCTTACCCTCCCTTGTCAGATTCTGATAGTTGGCCCCCAGAAGTACCCTAGATAGTTTCCCCGGACAGCTTCCTACCCCGTTCTTTAGCTCGGTCGCTTCTTTGTTCCCTTGCTAAAGATCTTACTTTATATGCAAATCACACCCAGCCTGACAACTGCAGGTTTAAAAAAAAACTGCTTCACCAAGAGCTGCTGGTGTTGTAGGAGCCAGTTTCACTGGGGTGACTGAATGGAGGTGATGACAATCTTACTGAATGTTGGACCTTTTTTATTATTATTGTAGTTGTCTCCCGAAGAGGAAGAGAAACGGAGAATCCGAAGGGAGAGGAATAAGATGGCTGCAGCCAAATGCCGGAATCGGAGGAGGGAGCTGACTGATACTCTCCAAGCGGTAGGTAGAGCCTGCTGGCTACTTCTGCAACTTCCAAGTTGGAGGTTGGGACTAAGGGATGAGGCTCCTTAGGCAAGACTGTGTCTTATGCTTTCCTTCCTCTCTCCCTGTGCAGGAGACAGACCAACTTGAAGAGGAGAAGTCTGCCTTGCAGACGGAGATTGCCAATCTGCTGAAAGAGAAGGAAAAACTGGAGTTCATTTTGGCAGCCCACCGACCTGCCTGCAAGATGCCCGATGACCTGGGCTTCCCAGAAGAGATGTCGGTGGCTTCCCTGGATTTGACTGGGGGTCTGCCTGAGGCTGCTACCCCAGAGTCTGAGGAGGCCTTCTCACTGCCTCTTCTCAATGACCCTGAGCCCAAGACATCACTGGAGCCAGTCAAGAGCATCAGCAATGTGGAGCTGAAGGCTGAGCCCTTCGATGACTTCTTGTACCCACCACCATCCCGACCCAGTGGCTCTGAGACCGCCCGGTCTGTGCCAGACATGGACCTGTCCGGTTCCTTCTATGCAGCAGACTGGGAGCCCCTACACAGCAGCTCCCTGGGGATGGGGCCCATGGTCACAGAGCTGGAGCCCCTATGCACTCCGGTGGTCACCTGTACTCCCAGCTGTGCTACTTACACGTCTTCCTTTGTCTTCACCTACCCGGAGGCTGACTCCTTCCCTAGCTGTGCAGCTGCCCACCGGAAGGGCAGCAGCAGCAACGAGCCCTCCTCTGACTCCCTCAGCTCACCCACACTACTCGCCCTGTGAGCGGTCAGGGAAGGGGAGGCAGCCGGCATCCAAGAGTGCCACTGCTTTGAGCTGGTGCATTACAGAGAGGAGAACCACGTCTTCCCTCGAGGGTTTCCGTAGACCTAGGGAGGACCTTGTCTGTGCGTGAAACACACCAGGCTGTGGGCCTCATGGACTTGAAAGCATCGCATCCACATCTGGACTCAAGTCCTCACTTCTTCCGGAGTTGTAGCAAAAGCGCATGGAGTCTATTGTTCCTAGTGACACCTGAGAGCTGGTAGTTAGTAGCATGTGAGCCAGGCCTGGGTCTGTGTCTCTTTCCTCTTTCTCCTTAGTCTTCTCATAGCATTAACTAATCTGTTGGGTTCATTATTGGAATTAACCTGGTGCTGGATATTCTCGGATTGTATCTAGTGCAGCTGATTTTAACAATACCTACTGTGTACCTGGCAATAGTGTGTTCCAATTAGACATGACCAATGTTAAACTAAGAGAAAAATTGAACTTTATTTTCCAGTAGATAGAACTAAATAGCTATATCCACGTACTGTAGTTCCTCTTCGGCGTCAATGTTCATCGTGATGTTACTGATCATGCATTGTTGAGGTGATCTGAATGTCCTGACATTAACAGTTTTCCATGAAAACGTTTTATTGTGTTTTCAATTTATTTATTAAGATGGATTCTCAGATATTTATATTTTTATTTTATTTTTTTCTACCCTGAGGTCTTTCGACATGTGGAAAGTGAATATGGATGAAATTTTAAGCATTGTTTGCTTATTGTTCCAAGACATTGTCAATAAAAGCATTTAAGTTGAATGCGACCACCTCGTTGCTCGTTTTGTTCTGAGAGTTATTGTATGGTTTCTGGAAGGCATTCGTGAGACCAGTTTGTCCAGATGGGTAGGTTCTGGAGGGAGACACGCCTTTGTCTGTTCCCTTATCACACAGAAGGAAACGCTAGTTCAGAATATTTTACAGATACATGTGTTCATATTGCATCGCTAAGGTTTTCTACCTGCCCTGGGGGCTGAAAGCTGCGTGTAGTAACTTGAGCAAGGACATGCTTCTCTTTTCTGCTTTTTGGAGGGGACATTCTTGAATTTATGTGCTCATCTTAGGTTTAGTACTCTTCATGGGAAAGGAATCCTTTAACAGAGCGTAGTTCTAGAAAAACAATTCTAACTCTTTAGTTGGTGTTGTTTGAGGTAGGATCTTGCTAGGAGGCCCAGGGTGGCCCCGAACTCACAGCAATCCTGCCTCAGGCTCGTCAGTGCTGGCTATTACAGCTGGTTAATACAAGCTGAGCTTCTTATTCCTACAAGATCATGTGAAGATTTACTCTTACCCTAGAAGGGGGTGAGTGGAAGAATGGCTGAAATAAATGACCCTCCACCCTGCACACAGAGTCACCACTTCCCACTCTTGTCCAGTCTATTATTTGTCTCCATGTGGAAGGCATTCATGTACCATGGCACTGGAGGGCACAGGACAACTTCCTGAAGCTATGCGTCCTGGGCATTGAACTCAGGTCATCAGGCATAGTGACAAGCACCTTTGCTCATGGAGCCAATCTCCCTCTTTTTTTTTTTAAGGTGTATTTTTTTTTTATGTTAGAATGTTTAACGGGCAGGTATGCCTATGCACCATATACCTGCAGTGCTCACAGAGGCCAGAAGAGGGCGATAGATCCCTTGGAACTGGAGTTGAGAGACAATGGTTTTAGCCTCCACGCTGGTGCTGGGAACCTGAACCCGGATCCTCTGTAGGACTAATAAGTGCTTTTAACTGCTCTCAACCATCTCCCCAGCCCTCCCGTACTGCCTCTTAATACTTGGCTGTAGGAGTTGAGTAGGGCAGTGGTGGCCCATACCTTTAATCCTAGCTCTTGAGAGACAGAGTCAGGCGGATCTCTGTGAGTTCGAGGCCACCCTGGCCTACAAAGCAAGTTCCAGGACAGTCAGAGTTGTTAAACAGAGAAACCCTGTTTTGAAAAACCAAAAAAGTTTTCCCTTGGATAAAAACAACAATTTTTTTATTTTTTTATTATTTGAGATAGGTCCAATGTAGGCTAGTCTGACCTCAGACTTGTTAGACAGTCTGTTTATATCTCCCAAGTGCTGGGACTACAGGTAGGCACCGTCATGCCTGCTTGAGTTCCTCATGCTAACCTATGCTCATTTGGTTGACCTTTTTTATTCTCAGAAGAAAAGAGGGGAGGGTCTTGTCCTATGGCACAGTGAAAAACAAATCCTAATTCTGAAGTTACTTTAATGCCATTCAGATTACAGTGTGTGTGGGGGGGGGGGCTGACAATTCAGAGATCTCAAGCAGCACAAATAATGGCTGATCATTCTGTAAATAAACGTTACATAATAGTTCAGTAGGGAGAAGTCAGCAGATGCTGAATAAGCTGTAGCTGAGAAAGTTTATCGTCTCATAGAAGAACACGACCTTTGTCTGGGAAGCCTCTGGTAAGGTTGGTTGCTCTCATTGGCACAGGTACAAACCACAATGAAAGGAGACTGAACCCCACCCTTTGTGCCCAAGTGCTGGCTGGAAGGGGAGCTTCCGGGTCATTAGTGGTAATGAAAATCACTTGGAGGTCATGGTGGACCTCATCCTCTGGCAAGTTACGTCTTTAATTTCAAATGGCAGTTCCACTAGTCTTGAGCTGCTGCTCTTACCGTGCCGATCAACACTTCAGAGCAACTCACTCAGGTCTACCAGTCCTTAAGGCACACACCCCTTGCACACTGCTTTTGCCAGTCTTGAGTTAAGAGTGGCCGGCCATGTTGGTAATCCAACAATCCCAGAGCTGAGGTGAGAGGCTCACCTGGAGTTCAGGGTTACACTGTGAGATCCTATATAAATAAAATGTAATTAAAAAAAATGGTTTAGGTTCATTGTCTGCTCCTTAAAGGGTAAATATCCTTTAAATGTGATTTCTAACTTTAGAATGAAGGCAGTGTTTATAAGGACCCAGTGAGCTTCTTTTAATGTGTGGTGATAACAAGCCGAGATTGCCCAGATAGGGAAGGGCAATACAGGAAAGCAGCTTGCCCTGGGGGCCTTACTAAGGGTCCTATGGGGCCCCAAACTGGCTATGGAAAACAAGCTTTCTTTTGACAGCCGTGACACAAACCTTTCTTCAGTTCACCACAGCCCAGCCTATACTCCATCCACAGGGGAGTGGTGACATTCTCAGAAGACAGAATCTCTAAAAGCCTTCTCAGAATTCATGGGATCCCCCACAGGACTGTCACCTTCCAAGCTCCCTGCCAGCTACATTCATGGTCTAGAGGGAAGAAAGAAAGGCCTTCCCTGTCTAGTCACAGCACTTCTTCCAAATCCCCCAATAACTCCTGAGGATGACTGACACTGGGCATGCTAACTTTCTTTCAGGAAACACTTCCATGTCTGCTCAGAAGATACAGCTCAGAAGACACAAGCTGGTTTCAGTGATATCACACCTGCACATCGTCATGACCACACATATTGATATAGACCTGTACACCTGCACATCGTCATGACCACACGTATTGCTATAGACCTGTACACCTGCACATCGTCATGACCACACGTATTGATATAGACCTGTACACCTGCACATCGTCATGACCACACATATTGCTATAGACCTGTACACCTGCACATTGTCATGACCACACGTATTGATATAGACCTGTACACAAACAGAAAGGGCTACACAGCAGGGGCCAGACCTGCCAATGGATTCCAAGATCTAGTCTGGAGCTATAGTACAGAGTGAATAAACATTTTGCTCAGTGAGTGAATGAGTAAATCCTACCTGCTTTCCACAACCAGAAAGGGAGTCTGCGCATGCTCTGTTACTTGGGTTCCAGTCCTGTGTCCCTCCACCCGCTCCCCGTAGGGTATCAGGCAATAGGAATGTTACATCTTTTACATTTGGCTGCAAACACACACCCCACTTCTAGCCTTCATTTCTGGGATTCCTTCATTGCCTCCCCTGAATTCCTTCTGCCATTTCAGCGAAGTGAGTTTGCAACTGTGTGCTGAAATTACTTTCAGATGACAGAAGATATCCATCTTTGTAGACTCGCAGACAACAGACTCCAGGCCATCTTCACACACCCCTACATCTCAGGCAATTATCAAAATTAAAGGGAAGCGCTTGTCGTTCTAATAACAGTTATTTTGTGTCAACAGCGATTCCCATAGGTGAAAGTAGATCAGTCTCCCTGTGTCTACTTAAGAGACAAAGTCTAAGCAAATGACCTCAAGTTTCAGTGTCTCAAAAGCAAAAGCATCATTTAAGCTATGCACAAGGCTCCTCCCAAACAGTTCTCCAAAGGTTAGGGAGCAGGACTGACATTTGGATGCTGAGCATCAGGTGCTGGGGTTGCTATCAACGCTGATGAGCTGACCCTTGATTCTTCCTCAGCTTCCCTAAGCCCTGCACCCTGTAAACACACAGTTCACGGGATTCCTTTGATTCTGGACACATCTAGCACTCATTCCTTCAAGCAGGTATGGTTTGTGCTGCTGGGCCTCTACCTAGGTCCCTTTCCCCAAAATTGGCTGCTTCTTGACATTCAGTGCTTAGCTCAAAGCTAAGCCTCCTAGATGCCTTCTGTGGTCATTCTGTCCTGGCTGTCTTCTGCATACACTGCCTTCACGTGATTTTCTCATGATCCCCATTTGGGTTTCCACAGCATTTACCATTAGCTGCAACATCCAACCTAAGTTTTCTTTTACTTAAAAAAAAGTAAAGGTCTTGCCCCTCATTACTGAACTCTAAGTCCCATGAGAGCAAAGACCTGTTGCACCTCGATCACAACCGTGTCCCAGTGTCCCTTAGGGTTATTGAATAAATGAAAATAAACGAGGGAATGCAGACGAAAACCTTAAAAATGTCAGAGTATAGTTGGACTTCTTCCAGAGTAGAAAAGCATGTCCCGTTATTAAACACAAATCCCCAGGCCGGAGAGAGAGCTAGCTCAGCTGTTGGCACTTGCTTCTCTTCCAGAGGACCCAGGTTCAATTCCCAGAAGCCACAATGAGTGGCTCACAATAGACTACAACTCCTGCTCCAGGGGAGACCCAACACCTCTGGCTTTGGTGGGCACCGGCACTAACATGCACACACATAGGTATAAATTAAAAGTAAAATCAATTGTTGCTTAAGCAACAACAAACTGCGCACTGTCCAGATGGCTTATCGGATAAAAGAGCCTGGTGACCTGAGTTCCACCCTGGAAGCCACGTAAAGGTGGAAGGAGAGAACCAAGGCCACTAAGTTGTTCTCCGACCCCCACACTTGTCTACCCACGCTCATTTCAAAAACTTGCTCTAGGAATGGTGGCTCCAGCTACAATTCCAGCACTGGGGAGGCTGAAGCAAGAGCAGAGCACGACCACACAGGCCACAGAGTAAGATCCTGTTTGTTTTGCTGTTGTTGCTGCTTTTGTTTTGTAAACAGAAAAATTAGCTGCCAAATGGACATACGTCAACTCAATTCTCCTTAAAGAATAATCAACATGTTTTCACTTTGGTTAAAAGATTCCAGAGTTCATTTGGTGTGCTGGAGGATGCAACCTGTAATTTAGTCTGCATTAAAATGAGAGAGTAAGAGTTAGCCATTCCGTTATCAACATCAGCATCATTAGAGAAGGTCCAGACCTGACAAGAGGCCGGGGGATAAGATGCACTAGATGTGGTGTGTGCCTTCCATCTCTGCAAGCGGCCAGCTGGACAGAGCGCCACTGTCTACGCATGCAGGAACAATCACCAGAAATCTAAGCTAGTTTCGCTGCACACAACCCGTTTCTATGGTCTACACACCCTCTTATGGACTAAGCTAAACTACCTTTCTTTTGCCAAAAAGCATTGTTGTGTTACTGCAGAAGAAAGAGTAGAAGGGTTCTGGCTACTGTCTCAAGGAGGCTGGCTGGTCTGGTCACCAGCTCTGCTTCAAAAGTCCTTTCTCTCCCCGCCCCTCCCCCGCCCCAGTGCATGGGTTTGGTTAAAGCAGGTGATTAGAAGTCTGGGGACTCGCAGGTGTTTAATTGTTTGCTATGTCAGGAACACTTAAAAAAACAAAAACAAAAACAAAAAAGAAAAAAAAGAAAGAAGAAAGAAAAGAAAAGAAAAGAAACACTTCATTCGCGTTTGAGGCCAGCCTGGTTGACAAAGTGAGTTCCAGGACAGCTAGGGCTACACAGAGAAACCCTGTTTCGAACAAACAAATAAAACTCACTTCATCCCAGAGACAGGCCCAGAGACTTAGGATGTAGTGTTATAGGGCTTGCTAGCTTGTGTGAGCCCCTGGGTTGGCTCCCTGGCACCGCAAAAGGAAGGAACATTACAGTAATCCCATGAGGAAAGGGCCCAGTTTAAAAGGCCCGGGACAAAAGGCAGCACCTTTATCCTAAATGTAAGTGGCCTGGGCTCCAGTTGCCGCGTTTATTTTGGGGAGAAAAAAAAACATCTATTTGGGGGCTTTTTAACCAATCATATGACTATCATCACAGGCAAATTTATCAGGACAACGTGATAAACTAATCTGGAATTGAGGAACTGGATCCAATCCAGCAAAGTGTTCCAGAATATAGACTGAGTTATGGATCCTGGCTCCTTGACCTTAGGCAAATGAAGTACTCTGTACTCCGTTTCTTCAGTGGCAAATGGAGATGCTAACTGTTTTTAGACTGTTACGAGCATTCAGCAAAGCAAATTGGCACATTGACAGGGCTCATTACAGCTCCGAGACCCGAAAAAATATGGTAGAAGGGTTGGTTGTTATTATGAGTTTGGTGGACAACATTCGGTCAGAGAAACAAATGGGGGCTGAATTTCATAGAACAGCAAGGTTCTGGGTGCCAACTGTGTATCATGCATTGGATTCAGAAGCGAGCAAGACACAGTTTTGTTCTAAAAGAATGTGGACCCCAGTAAAGGCGAAAGACACATAAACACATACATTATAACACATTAGAAACTGCAGGTCTGAGGGAAAGAAGGGAGGTGCTCTACTAGGGAGATTCTCTAGGTGCCCTCTGAGTTGGGCTTTGGAGGTGGATGGGGTAGAGATATTAAAGGTATTGAACCACTCTAAAACACAGACTCATAAAGCAGTGAATTTGGCTTTGCTAGGCTAATCCTATAAAATACATGGGGTGGACCTCAGTGGAGGGAGGGTGGGAATCTACCATTTTCATCAATATTGCAGTATCAGCGGGGAGGAGGCTAAAGGCAGGTCAAGAAGAGATAACTGCGGCCAGATTACTCATTCATCTATTCATCATTTATGCCCCGGCAATGCTTAAGTATGCAGGGGCAGCCCGTTTATGACGTTCCCTAGTTATCCTATCTTGGGCGTCCTAGATGCTTGCGTTATTGTCATACCCAAGGTTCCACAGTCTTCCTTTATGCTGTCTAGCGAGCATCTTTTGAGCCTTCCTCTTCCCTTCTCCCGTGCGCTCCTCCAAGCAGTGCTGTCTTCGGGTATCTGCCACCACTCATTCTCATGACATGGCCAACGCATCTCAAGCGCCATGGTCATCTCCTATAGTTTACTTCCTACTGTGGATGGAGACGTTTCTTAAGGTCATCGCTTAGCAGCTTCTCTCTTCCTGTGGTACCTAGAATCGTCCTGTGTTTGAGATAGCATGTCTCGGGAGGATTCTAGACCAGATGAATTTAGCTAGTTGAGTTGTTCGAAGGTTTAGTGAAGGAAGTGGTGGTGGGGGAACTAGGGGGAAGGACTGCCCAGACTTGGTGATGGAGTGGATCTAAGTTCATGTCTAGATTTACCAAACTTGACACACAGGTAGGCTTATGGTTCACTAGTGTCTTTTCACCAGTGACATGGGTTTGGGGAATATGGAAATTAAGGTGCATGTGGAACACATTAGGTTTGCAATGCCTGTGGGATCCACCCAGGGGGAGTGGAGGCAGTCACAATAACCCAAAAGAAGATGAAATGAGTTGGCAGGGTTTATTCAGAGCCCAAGGTTGGCATAGAACCTGTGGCCCTGGGGTAAAGTTTCACACGAGCCTGTGATGTGCCAGCCTCTGCTTTATCCAGGCACAGTTCTGGCCCAGGGACCCTGTCTGCCCTGCTAACCAGTATGCCACTAGCAACTGGTGCTTGATAGGCACAGAGTCATTGTCTTGTCAAACGGCTGCCTCATTTGGTCCTCAGCACACAACAGGCCAATGAGACGGATATTAGTCTCTGCATTTCACAGGTGTGGAGTACGATCCAGGAAACAGTAAATGCATTGGCCCAGGGCCCACAGCTGGTAAGCGGTAGACCTGAGATTTGAATATACACTCTGTGACTCTGAAAGCCCAAACTGCTTAACCACATTACCAGATCATTAGAATTTGACTCTAGTTATATAGTCGACTCCTCTGAGATTGACACATGCCCATCAGGGCTGGGACTGGCTAGAGAGATGACTCAGCAAGTAGAGTGCTTGCTGCCAAGCCCAACAGCCTGAGTTCAATCCCAAGGAGCCGCACAAAGGAAAGAAAGAAGCAGCTCTACCTTCACATACACACAAGACAAACAAACAAATGCCCTCTGGGGGCTGAGGCATGGTGAGCTCTGTATTTTCCATGTATTTATTTGTGTATGTGTGTGTGCACTTGTGTCATGGTGGTATGGAGGACAGAGGGCAACTTCAGGGAGTCAGTTCTCCCCTTCCGTCTCTACATGGCTTCCAGGGATCAAATTCAAACATCAGGCTTGCTTTGTAAGAGCTTTCCCAGCTGAGCTATCTTGCTGACCCCCTTAAACTAACTTTCTTTGTTTGTTGAGAAAGGGTCTCATTGTTTAGTCTTGGCTGGCCTGGATCAAACTGGCCTTGAACTCGTGGAGATCCGACTGTTTCTGCCTCCTGAGGGTTGGGATTAAAAGGAGTGTGTCACCATGCCTTGATTCCCCCCCTCCCCAAACCACTACCCCCCAAACCCACCACCACCAAAAACAAAAAACCAAAACCAAAAACAGATTTGAAGTAAAGTAGCTGGTCATGGTATCCTGCATCTGTAAGCCCCAAACTGAGACGTAGATTTACCTCTGAAATAGAGTTCAAGGCTATCTTTTGTTGCTTACCAAATTTGAGACCAGCATGAAGGTCATGAATCCTTTCTGAAAAACAAAAAAACAAAGAACTAAAACAGGCAAAACCAGACTGATAAAACATAGTAACTGTGAAGACAAACTGGACTTGAGTTACTTCAGTAGCTCTGTCGCTGGGTATGAGCATCTGGGTTTTTTTCTTGTTTTGTTTTTCAAGACAGAGTTTCTCTGCGCAGCCCCAGCTGCCCTGGAACTCCCTCTGTAGACCAGGCTAACCTTGAACACCCCCCCCCCCAAGTCCTGGGATTAAAGGTGTACACCACCAATGTCTGCCTGAGCACCTGGGCTTCTGATGTGTGTTTATAGGTCATTGTAGAGCAGTGCATGTAATAACGTGATGCTACTGGCAAATATGTGCGTCGCAGTGAGCGCATTTAGCATTTTTATTAGATGTTATCTCCTTAGTGTGCTCTTTAAAATGGAAGATTTCTTTAAAACGGTTTGCTTTGAAACTGAAGGACCATCAGGAACACATGACACCAACTGAAGGATGTCGTGGTAGCTCAACGGCCAGCAGTAACTTGGGCTGACAGTGTGTGTAGCACTATTCTAAATACTATGTAACTTTTTTTTTTAAAGGTGGTGGAACTGGAGGGACGGCTCCGCGCGCGGTGTAGAGTGAACACTGCCCTTGCAGAGGACCCGAGTCTAGTTCTCAGTACACACATCCATCTGGCACACCTGTACGCACGTGTACAGGCACGTACATAAAAATAATAAAGATAAATTTGTATTAAAAATAGTCACAGGGCTGGGGTTGTGCTTTAGTTGCCAGAGTGCTTGCCTAGCATGAAAGAAGCGCTGGGTTTGAGTCCCAGAACTGTATGAACAGGGTACCATGTGGCTCATACCTGTTTTCTCACCTTTTTGGAAGTGTTGGCAAAGGATCAAGGTCATTTCACAGCTACACAGTGAAGTCCAGCTCCACGTGGGATCCGTGAGACTACGTCAAAAATACTCAAAATAGTCACAAGTACCCTCTAAGGTAGGTCTTGATAATATAGCGACAGTCTAGGGCACAGAAAGACTGTGGCCTGCACTGAGTGGCAGCGGTGGAATCTGAGGCCCAGGCAGAGTGTGCCCCCCCACCCTGCCTGCTCAGCGGCTAGTAAGGAAAAACCAAGTCTGCAACAACCTCGCACGCTCGGGAGGTGGGAGGGCTCGCTCCTCTCCGCGGGCTTCCCAGGCACCTCTCGGGGGTCTCGGCGTCCCTGCACCCTCCCTCTCGGCACCCTCCCAGCGCCCGCGCCCCGCTTTGTCAAGGCCAAGGTGTCTCCAAGCCCTTCCCAGCTTCCGGCCCTTTCTCCAGGTCAGCTCGCTCCCGCAGGCAGCGCCAGGAGCCCGCCAGTCCCCTATTTACTGTTTGGTTTCCACGGTGACACGTAGGCGCCGCAGCGCCTCTCGTCAGCGGCTCCCACCCGGCGCCGTGACGTCTGCCCGCCGCTTCCGCTCTGCCCATATTTGGAAAGGCTCTGCGGGTGGGGAAGGGCTGGGAGCCGGACTCCCGCGGCGCCCCGCCCCCTGCTCGGCTCCGCCCCCGCGCGGACCTGCGGTGCCCTGATCTGCGCACCCCTCCTCCTACCCGGACCCTGCGGAGGCGGGCGGGGGCTCGGGTCACCAGCATCCAAGGGGTTCTGACGGTGGAGGCTGCAGTCAAAGCTTAGGGTCTGGCTCATCTGTTTCGGGTGGGTGATCCAGGATCACGATTTTCCCTCACTGTGCCCGGAAATCCTGGAAGCAGTCTTGGCAGTCGTGGTCTAACCCTCGCCCTCTTTGATACACTTGAATTTCAGAATCAAGTGTCCGAGGTGCAGTGGAAAGCTTTGAGGACAGACATTCTGGGGTCGGTGTTTTCCCTTGGGACATAAGTGACCTTGGGAAGGCCAGTTTCTCCTGACTGGGGGCGGGGACGTTCTTTTTGCAGCCCCGTCATCCAGCGCTGTCCATCACCTTCTAACTGACCCCCTTCTGGTGACATAATTGCAAAGTGGGTGAAGTTCTTGAAGACCCCTGCGGTTCTTATGCCTGCACTAATTGTATCTGTGTGTCTCCTGGGATTTGCTTATATTAGACGCTTTGTTAACTTTAGCTACTGATAATTGAATGGATCCGAGGCAGATTTCACCTTCATAAGTGTCTCCCTCCCTCCCCCCCCCCGCCCCGCAATTCCTTTTACAGGCGGAGGGAATATTGAGATGATTAATAGTCGCGCGGCAGGGTTGCTGATGTAAAGCGATTTGCGGATGTAAAGGGCAATAAACATGCGGATGTAAAGGAATCCATTGAGATTCCAGAAGTCTCTGAGGAGCCGTGGGTGTGTGCTGCAGGGCCGTGGAGGCGGGGGTGGGACGGGCAGTGCCGCAGTGGCTACGGCTGGATACTCCGTGGCAATTTAACGAGATGCGTAGGGCTAATTCTTCATGAGGCCTATCACCCCCCCCCAACGCCGACACCGCCCCCCCTGCCCTGCCCTGTCCTGCCCTGCCCTGATCTGCCCTGATCTGCCCTGCTGTGGTCGCCCACGCCTCCCAGACCCTTTGGCCATAGGAGTGGGTGTTTTCCAGAATTTCAAAGCTGGAAGGGACTTCAGAGATTAAATTTATTCCATAGACAAGGACGCTAACGCTCATAGAAGTTGATTCAGCTAACCGAGCTTGAACAGATAGCTAGAAACAGCTAAAAGTCAGATCTCTGACTTTAAATTGTGTTCTCTCTCGAAGTGCGCCTCAACCTGAACTCAGGTGACCGTAGGACCCTATTACTTGGCTTAGCTCATGAACGTTTAGGCCACACATACATTTAGGGTAGCCCACGGACACAATTCACCAGCAGAATGGGGACGATTGTCAAGAGGTATTTGCTGCAGAAAGCCACCAGCACTCCTGTTGACCGTGGGGGGATCTTTGTCTAGAGAAGGGTCGGAACTGCGATCCGCTGCGGCGAAACCTGTCTTAGACTCGCTATTCCCTATTTATCCTCCAGACGCAGGCAGAGAGCTCAGGCCGCAGCTGGTGAGTAGGTTACAGAACCAACCCTGCCCTGCTGCATGGAAGATCTCTTCGCTCTTAGGAGTCTGGCTGCAGGGAGGCGTCTTTGACCCCCCCCCCCCTTCAGATTCTTCTCACAGTCACTTTCCGAACCTCCAGGTTGACTTTGAAGACAGCTCACGCTTAGAAGACTGGCGCCTCCTCACCACCCTCTCACCAGCTGATTTGGGGAGTGGTCTGGGAACGGTCCTCTTCCCACTGACGGGACCTGAGCTGTAGCCTCAGAACGGCAGCTCTGCCACCTGGTGGTTGTGGGAGCCAAGTGTGCCCTCCTCCGGGCGCCTACAGTAGGCTGTTGTGAGAAGGCCAGGGAACAAAATGTGAGTGTGTGCCCTGGGTGTGTGTGTGTGTGTGTGTGTGTGTGTCAAACTCAGGTTGTCGAGCTTGGCAGCAAGCGCCTTAACCTGCTGAGCCATAAATCGCGATGGTCTACTCTGATGGGAAGCGCCAACCTGGCAGATACAACCGAAACCAAAATAAAATACCCGATCAGTCTAGCTGTTTTCTCTCTGTGGGTTATTTCTGAAGACTTCTTCCATGTGGATGTAGGGAAGCTGTTTTGTAATTTCTCTTGCCAGGACTGTTTTTCAAAACCTGCTCCCCTTCTCTTTCCAATTTTGTTTTGAGTTCCATCTTTGAAATAAGTGTCTAGACTTTCCTTTCTCATAAGCCTTTTGTGACTTGGCTGCCCTCGGGGGACACGGTGTACTTATAGGTTGCCTTCCCTTCACCTTTAGAAAAACTCTATTTGTTGTTCTAGTGTGCATATGCATGGTGTGTGTGTGTGTGTGTGTGTATGTGCTATGGTATATATACATGCTGTGTGTGTGTGTGTGTGTGTGTGCGCGTGCACTTTCAATAAGTCATGGTATATGTGAGGTCGAAGGGCAACTTTGTGGAGCTGTTCTCTCCTTCCAACATTATGAAGGTTCTGGGGATGGAATTCAGGCCATCAGGTTTGTGTAGAAAATACCTCTAGCCACCAAGACATTGGCCATGGTGGCTGGAGAGATGGCTTAGAGGAATAGAGCACTGGCTGCTCTTCCAGAGGTCCTGAGTTCAATTCCCGGCAACCACATGGTGCCTCACCACCATCTGTAATAAGATCTGGTGTCCTCTTCTGTACTGCAGGATACATGAAGGAAGAAACCTATATACATAATAAATAAAAATCTTTTAAAAAAAAGACATTGGCCAGCCCTCCTTTTTTTCCTTCCTTCCCTCCTTCCTTCCTTCCTTCCTTCCTTCCTTCCTTCCTCCCCCTCTCTCTTCTTTCTTTCTTTCTTTCTTTCTTTCTTTCTTTCTTTCTTTCTTTCTTTCTTAGACTGAGTCTGGCTGTGTAGTCCGCACTGGTTTTGAACTCCTGACCCTCCTGTGTCTGTCTCCTGAGTGCTAGGCATAGGGGCACGTTACCACTGGCTCTTCTTTTCACTATCTCCTTGGATGTGGGGGGGGGTCACATATTGTCTTTGTTATTTATAGACCCCCCCCCATAGGGCCCTCCAGAGGACTGGGGACAAAATTGGCTTTCAATAAGTCATGGCTCACTAACTGGTCACGTCTCTAGACACACTCTGGACCTTTGCATAGATAAGCCTTCTAGACCCTTAGTTCTTGCTGGTGGCAGCGTGTAAGGGGTGATCCAATCAAAGGTGGCCTTGCACAATACGTAATTTCACAAGAGAAACACCCGGAGTGAGATGAGGAAGTTGGAAGTTTACAGTAGACTCAGAAAAATGAGGAGGGTGGTGACCAGGAAAGGAGGAAGAGCAAGGAGAGGGGTTCTGGAGAAACAGTGCAGGCTCTAGAGCCAGCTTGAAGCCAAGCTGTGTGGCCTTGGGTTGTTTACCCTGCTGGCCCGCGTTCTTTTCATAAACAAGCGCGCTCCTAGTGGGAGTGCTGGCATATGAACTGAACTGCTCTTTAGAAAAGCACCAGGCAAGTCTAGAGCTAGCTGACTATGAGTGAGGTGTCCAGTTTTCTCTTCTCGCACCATCCTTCTCGGGGTCCCCCAGGTCTAGGTTGACTCCTGTCTGCCTGTAGTTGGTAACCTTGAGTAGCTGTCTCCATGCCCTGGACTTTTAGATTTCTCCTGTGTGAGGCAGGCGTGATTAGATCTGCCTCCAAAGACTGCCGTGATAGGTTTATAAAGTGCCTGGTGTATTAGGGGCTCCACATCAGGAGTTATTTTTATTAGCATGGAGAGGGGGGGCATTGTAAAGTAGCATGGGGCTCCAAAAATCGTAGAAGTTTTAAGAAAGACAGATTTCATGGACCCAGAATGAGACCAACCAGCTTGCCAGCTTGCAGGGGAGAGGCTGGGGCTGGGCCATGAACATCTATCACTTCTGAAGCAACCAAGAATGATCTGACCTCATGAAATGTGGGGCGCTCATCCCTTCATTCTAGGAACAGTTCCGCCCCAAGGCTAGGCTGAGGGTGTGGACCTAGTGGGGCTGGATGCCAGGACCTGTAGGTTCTCTTGCCCGCCCTCCAGGGAGGGGGGCTTTAGCATCTGAGGGTGTGTGTTGGGTGGGCCTTGGCAACCTATTGTTGTTGCTTGTGTGTGAGAATGGCCCAGGGACATCTTGGCCCAGGACGTGAACTCTTGGGCCTAGTAAGAGAAGAGCCTGTCTGCACAGCTCCTGAGAACCGCAATTCCAAGCCTTCACTGAAGACATTCTGGGACTGATTGCCAGCTAGTATCGGAGAAGTGGAGGAAGGAGGGATGTGGGAGGCATGTTCATCTCAATTCTCTTCAACCACATGCGTGGAAAAGTACTCACCCAGCTATGCAAATGGTTGGCTCTTTCTTTCAGTTCTTTTTGGAAGAAGGAAGCAGGTTGCAAAATCATACATTGTTAGAGTGTTGCAATCTCAGTGCTTGTTAGGAATCATAATATGGACTCCGTACTTGACAGCTCTTGTCGCGGAACACACCAAGTGTCTTGTGCTTTACAACTGATGACGGCCATGGCAGTGGGTATCCTGTTAAGTAAGTTGGTCTTTGGGGATCCCAAACACAGTTTGACGCTAAGCAAACTCATCTTTGGAGCTGCTGTTTGGAGAGGCACCACGAAGACTAGAAACCATTCAATTGCTCGTGACAGTGATAGGTGGGCCCTGGTGACAGCCCCACAGCAGCTCTGTGGGGACCAGGCAAAAGAAAACAACAACAACAACAAAACCCCAAACACCCAGCATGCCAAGATGTGAGGGTGCAGGTGTTGGCTGGGCCCGGGGAAGAGGAACGCAGGTTTTGTCTTCTCTTTGCTCCTCTGTGCTTCGTGACTCTTTTTCCTTGTT